AAGGCCTACCTTCGGGAGATTCAGTGCCACAGATTAAGGATAACGATGTGTTTAGCTCAAACATCGTTGTGCATTCAAAAGAAGCAACTCACTGTGAACTTCCCGGTTCGGATGACAATGCCGAGTCCATCACCCTCCGTGCAGTACGATCCTTTGAAGGCGACATTCCGCGAGTCGAACACGGACACATACGAAGCGGCCGCTTCTGCTGTGCACTCGACAGGAGTTTTCCTACCTTAGTTCAAGAGTTTGATATAAAGTACACAGCTATAAAGTACATTCATAATACTAGCGCCTAACCGGTCACTTCCGACACCTCGATCGTCAGGCAGTTTGTCTGAAGAATTCGGATATCGGCCGGTATTCGAGATCCCGATCTGAAAATATATAGTGAAACTTCGAGAGAAGCTGTCGATAGCTCATCCAAAGTGCAACACCAAACGATAGAATTGAAATGAAGGTAGGAGATGTAAAGAAAATGTGTAAAAAAATTATAGGCGCTAACTCGGTTGGGGAGAGCTAGTAGGGTCGACCGTCCGTTGGACAAAGTCCAACGAGGGGTCGTATTCGGCCGACCGAAAAGGGGGGTCGTATTCGCAAAGGTCAACGTCGCAATACGTAGGTGAGAGGCATAACTTTCGAGTGCTTCTCCAACTATTAACCACAAACGAGTGCATGGCGCACCTCAGAGCAGAAGAGTCTACTGCAGAAGTGTCCATATTTGACTGTTCACGTACACAAATATGCTCTAGAGGAGAACCAATGTCTTCAAACTGGAATAAGTTCAGTAAAAGAGTGACCACTTGGGTAGACTGACTGCTAAACAAGAAAGTTTGGAAAAATATTTGCCTGTCGCGACTTCCTGAAAAGGAATTTAGTATCTGTTATGAAGCACAAAGCTTGTGCGATGTCATGGTATCATTATTCCCCATAAAATTGAGTTTGAAGAGAGCTGTGAGTGTTTGAGTGTTGAAAACTCGTGTTTTCAGAGTAGCTCCGAAAATTCATGAAAAAAACGGTCCAACGGGACGATTTTTGAACGGGTCATTTTGGAAACGAGATCAAGTATTCGTTAGAAAGCTCTAACCTTCTAGTTTCTTCCAGGGGACAAGAATTGCAAAAAGTTGAATCTGAAGAAAGTTATAACAGTTCAAAGCCAAAAAACCAGCGCTCTGCAAAAAATCGGTCCGCGATTTCCCCAAAACGGTCCAACGGGGCGATTTTTTGACTCCATCAATTTTGAAAGAGTTCAAGTACACGTTAGAAAGCTCTAACCTTCTAGTTTACCCAGGGGGACAAGAATTGCAAAAGGTTGAATTCTGAAGAAAGTTATAGTCATTGAAAGCCAAAAAACCCGGTTGTGCACAAAAAACGGTCCAACGGGGCGATTTTTTGAAGAAATGAAACTTTACAAAAGTTTGAGTACTTTTTAGAAAAGAAAACAATCTAGAGTTTCAAAATTTTCTTACCACTTCTCACACTTTCTTATTTGAAGAAAATTACAACCTTTCAAATGAAGAAGTGCGCATTTCTGTGAATTCTAATTCTCTACCCCATAACTAAAAGAGTTTTGAAGATACTGCACAAACGTGGTAGTTTTCTGAAAACTAGCAGTCTCGTAGATTACAAATCTACTTAGCGTTTTGAAAAAATATTGACGTTGAACAGAATTACACTCATTTGAAAATTAGTAGTCTGCCTCGGTCTATCCGCGCTGGGCCGAGGGGAAGATTGTGCGCGCCAATGCAAACGCGACGCTACCGCGCTCAATCTGGTGTAACGCTCGAAGTAGTAGTACGAAGTAGTACGCAAACACACACAAATACCAAGTGTACAGTACATAATAAGTGTTTGGGGGGGGGGGGTCGTATAAAGGAGGGGCGTAAATTTTTCGGAAATTGGTGGAATTCAACGTGACGGTTGACCCTGACTAGTCGCCGACGCGGCGCGCGGCATGTCTGCGTCCTCTCAGCGAAACTGTGCAAACACAGCTAAACACTGCAGCTTTTTTCGGCTTTGCACCTGAGTCAAGTGACTCGCCCTACTCCCTCAACCCTGAAGCGCCCCTATTTCCCCTAGTTCAAGGAGCCCTCGCCAACCACTGAAGGACGCACACATGCCGCGCATCGTGGCGGCAACTGTCCCGCCTCTGACCAAGTTAGCACCAAATTACATTTTAAAAATATACAGCGAGATATATAAATTTTCAACGGACCTAATGATCACCAAATCGCCAACGACGATGTCCTCGGTGTTGATTTCCTTCTCCTCACAATCTCTGATCACAATCGCCTTTGATGGCAGAAGTTTGGTGAAGCTTTTTAATACCTAACAAAAACAGAATGTTCCTTAAACG